GGCTCCTTGATGGGGTGGGGGAGGGGCTTGCTGGGGGCGTGGCCAAGGAGAGGTGCGGCGGGGAGCCTGATGGGTTGGGGGGATGTGCCAATGGGGGCTGGGCGAATGGAGGACATGCTGATTTGGGTGGGCTGCTAACACAGGCCTGGTCACGTTGACCTGACCCGAATGTGAAGGGGTTTGGTGCTGCAGTGGTGGGCAGATTGAGGGTGGGGTATGGACCCTACTCAACTTGATCCCACCTGCCCTAATGGGGGGGGGTGTTGGCCCAGCCTGTTACAAAGACAGGAGCCAGTCACAAAATCGGTTCCCACCCGACACGATTGGAGCCTCCCAGATGCAGGGGACAGTCAGGGGCAGAGCCTGGATCCAGGCAGGGATGGGGATTTTAGGGGGTTGGTGAGGGAAGGGGGCACATCTGGGAGCTCAGGTGGACAGGGAGGCCGGTGGCTCAGAGCGGGACGTGATGGGCTGGCCAGGAATGGAGACTAGCTCAGCTCTGCTCCCCACAGCCGCCCGTATCCCCACAGCCATGCTGGGGGTCTGAGAAGGGCCGCTGGTTCCTGCTGCTCCAGTCAGTGATTATCGGAAACACCCTGGATGTGTGTGGAAGTGGTGGCCCTGGACTGAACTTCCTCTCTGAGGAACAGGCAGCATCTGGGCGGGCTTGGCCCCTTGCCCTGCTGATAAGCCTCCCAGCCCCATTGCTCATCCACCATAGCCAGTTCAGCCCTTGGCATCTCTGCCGAGAGGTTGGGGGAAGCAGTGGGGAGGGATTTTGTGATGGAGACGTGTCCTTCAGGGGACGTCCCATGGGGTAGCAGCCTCTGTCTGCAGGTCACCAAGCAGCCACGAGATCTTGTCCTCTCTGTCGCTTCTAACCAGGCCCGGATCGGCCAGCGCCCTAGGGGGTCCAGGCCCTGATTCCCACCCAGCCCCCACTCACTCCCTCTCCCTCTCTCCCAAGGCTGAGGCTGTCTCCAAGCCCCAGCTCACAGAAGGGGGGCTCCAGGATCCACGTGAGCCACTCCACCACACCAGGCTCCTCCAAGAAGAGGAAGCTGGAGGACGGGGAGCGCCGGACGAGCTTCTCCCAACATGCGAGGACCAGCGGCCGCGTGGCCGTGGAAGAGGTTGATCTGGAAGGGAAATTTGTCCGTCTCAGGAACAAGTCCAACGAGGTAGATTTCCTGGTGGCGATGCTGGTCATGCCTAAGCAGGGGCAGGATGGGTCAGTAGCTGGAAGGGAAACCATGTAGTTCTTGAGTGTCCTTCCCCTCGGGTCGGCCCTAAACCATCTGTGCAGACAAAGGGTGCTGCAATTTTTGTGAGACTTCAAACTTAGAGCCAATTCCTAGTGTAAACCAGGTGGTGTTCTGTTTTGTGTGCTGTTAGACAGCTGCTGTGTCCCACCCTAGAGGTGGATGCATTTCAACAGTTGCTGTTGTGTGTGGCTGGCAGATCGCTTTGGAATGCTTTAGAACCAAAGCAGATCTCATCAGCTGATCTCAAAGCTCGTTGCAAGGAGATCAGTATCATTAGCCCCCTTTTACAGATGGGGAAACTGAGGCACAGAACAGGGACATGACTTGCCCAAGGTCACCCAGGAGACTAGTGTCAGAGCTGGGAATAGAACCCAGGTTTCCTGAGTCCAGTCCAGTGCGCTGTCTACTAGGCCACACTGTACTGGGAGCTGTACATACACATGGTGAGAGACAGTCCCTGCCCCGAAAATCTTTGTGTATATAAACAAGACAGACAAAGGGTGGGGAAAGGGATACAAGCAGAAGATGGGGAAACTGAGGCAAAGGGAGGTGAGGTGACTTGCTGAAAGTCAGTGGGTCTGTGGCAGAGTCCCAGCTCAGTCCCTTGACCGCAGGACTTGTAGCCAAGGGGAGGCAAAACCGGAACAATCTTGAAGGTCGGTTTCTCAAGGCCTCTGCCTTCTGTTACACAGGACCAGGCGATGGGGAACTGGCAGATCAAGCGTCAGAATGGAGAGGAGGCCCTCATCAGTTACCGCTTCCCTCCCAAGTTCACCCTGAAGGCCGGCCAGGTGGTCACGGTGAGTAACAAACTGCACTTGCACGGGGTTAATGAAGGGTTAGCGCCCTGGGGAGCTGATGTGCCGTTCTCAGTTGGCATTTGTCACCCTGGAGTTGCCCCTGGGAGATGGAGCAGCGGGTCCCACCCTCCTGAAGAGCAGAGCAAACCCAGCCCCTCTGAGTGCACAGGCATCTCACCTCCGGGCCCCTTGGTAGAGTGGCCATAGGGCTCCCCCTTGGGGACGGATGGGAGATTGCAGCTCTGATTCTAGCTGAGATACAACGCTCCAATGTGGGGGGGCTGATCTCCCCTTTGCATACTGGAACTGCTGACATTGCCGGATCTGAGCTCGGGCTGGCAGAAATCGCACCCTGGCAGCAGCTCTTGTGGGGTTCCTGCCATTTGGGAGTGAAGGGGCGCTGGATTTTGACATCTCAAGTTCTAAGTCATGGCCCCGGCATAAGCAGAAGCCTGATGTAGCACCAGGATTCAGATCCTGCCTGTGGTTTTCTCAGCCCATCTCCCTTGCCTCCTTTCCTTGCCGTTTAGAGAGTAGTGACCCCCCCCGCCCCGCTCCCAGTTCAGCAGTCCAACACGGAGGTTTGAACCTGGAACGAGCGATCAGAGCAGTTCCTTTAGTTAACAGCTGTAGTAGACTCGTACCGTCTTTTGTGGAGCAGCCGCTGGACAGGGGCAAAGACCCACATGGGGAGTTAGGGTGAGGTTGATGCTGCTGGCGCGAGGTGCTACCGATCTCTGTGTGTTCCTTTTTAGATCTGGGCCTCCGGAGCCGGCGCCACCCATAGCCCTCCCACTGACATGGTGTGGAAGGCCCAAAGCTCCTGGGGCTCTGG